GTGTGTGTGTGTGTGTGTGTGTGTGTGTGTGTGTGTGTGTGTAAGCTCATCATGCTTGTGCTATCCTTTTTCTGCCACATTGCCATGGCGACAGTGCCCTCCCGGGGTAATGGGGACGAGCACGCCAGAGCTATTTATTCTATTTTTCTCATCCATCCATCCATCCATCCATCCATCCATCCATCCATCCATCCATCCATCCATCCATCCATGGCCCTCTCCCTTCATCTCCTTCCACCTCTCACTCACTCACTCCATCTTTGCCCTCTTCCTCCTGCGAACTCGCCGTCTCACTCCTCTCCCTCCTTCCTCGCTCTGATTGGCCTAACACTCTCCTCCTCAAAATGAGATAGTGTCTAATGAGACAGAGGGTGAGGAAGAGAGAGGAGGAGGGAGGGAGGGAGCGGGGGACAAAGAGCAAGTGCCTTTAAAAGAAAAAAAAAAGGAGGAAGGAGAAATATGTGGGGGAGGCGATCTACGCAGACTTTGTCTTCATCGTTTCATGCAAAAAGAGAAGTCGATGATGTAATTTTTTTTCTATAAGTCGTTTTATTTTCAGACGTTTTGCCTCGTGYCGTGAACTGTTGTGTGTTTAAGAGTTGAGGCGGTCGGTTGTTTCGAACATSTGTTGCTTCCAAACTTTTTAGGCGTTTCATTTCCTAAAGATAAAGCTCAGATCTTCTGACGTGAACAATTATTATCTTACCTGTTGTGGATGGCTTTTTTAGTTTGAAGAAAAGAGTTCATTTCTAAACTAAGCTAGTCTGAGACCAAAGATTACTTAATATCTGTAAAGTTGCTTTGGTGAGAGCTGCTTTTGTGGTGGTTTTGCTGACTCWGCGTGTTTAACAGTTTGATGGACAGATGGAGTACTTTTTGAGTTTGGTTAAAACTGCAAACAGCACAGTGAAATACACACATAACGGCAAAAAAATCAGATGCTGATGCTGTTTAACRTAGTTTTTTTCATTTGTGAGTCATCACATCGAAACGAGGATTAAGTCTAAAAGTTGTATGTGGAGAAATAGRCAGATATAGTGCTTCGATTAAAACGCTTGCAAAAATGATATTTTGTCAAAATATTACAAAGAAATGTGTTATCAATGTAGCATTTTAATGAACTGTCAGAAATATTATCCTAAAAATTTTTGAAGCACTTTTTTGAGCATTAGCAACCAGAAACTTGATTTTGAGCAAAAACGCCTTAAAATGTTGAGATTTCCCCTGTGAGCTAGCAATGCTTTTATTTCTTTCCAGCTGGGAAATCTCAATATTCAAATACTATTTGAGGTTTATTTTTTTCAAATGACATAAAAAATCCTCTGTAAAATTACATAAAATTAGGATTTAGACTAAATAAATATGTATTATTTTAACCAACAAGACAAATTAAATAATATCTCTGGATCTACTAATGATATCAGGATGATCTAAGTATCAAAATGTAGCTTTTAAAGCAGGAATCTGAAAATATGATTAGGTCATTTTGATCAAATTTGACTTAATCCTCATTTCGATGTGATGGGTCACWTTTAATTCTATTTTACAGATGTACTGCTCTGTTGGGGGRCGTTCAGCTGCAGGACAGGTGCGTGGATTGGGGGGGCGTTAAAGTCTGAAWCTGTGAAGCTCCTCTCAGACAAAGTGTGCACAGAGATAATTGTCGGATCAATAGCGACATCAGTCAGCGCCCTTTAACTGAAGAGTTGTGATTTTTAACGGGCCTGCAGCAAAGTCTGAGGCTTGCTTCGCGCAGAACTTGAGCCCRGGAGGGAAAGACGAACGAGCGAAGATAGGAGGGAGATGAAGGTGGGAGCGGGAGAAGGAGTAATACGGGAGGAGAAGGGGAGGGCGGGAGAGATAAATGACTGAGGAGACGGCGCAATGAGTGAAGTGAGAGAGTGTGACACACTGCAGACGGGAAGACTAACGGAGCGAGAGCAGAGGGGTGAGGAGGAGGAGGGACGTCAGACTCCCTCCCTCTTTTTCCTCACCCTCTCTCCTCCCTCTGCCTTCCYCGCTGGGTAGCAGACCTTCGCTGGATGGTAACAAGCCCCTCAGATGGCTGCAGCACACACACGTAAACCCAGGTTTCCTGAGGATCATTTCATGCCTGCTCTTCTGTACGCGTGCGTGCGTGYGTGTGTGTGGTGAAAAACAGCCGATTCATATAAAAAAGGAAGAACAAACCCACACTACTTGGTTGTTATTCTCTAAAATCTGTCTCTCAGGTCACTTTGACAGTCTACTCTCTTCATCCCCTGTTTACTGTGACACGCGCACACACACACACACACACACACACACACACGCTGCCTTCCTCTTCCTCTTTCTCCCTCTCTCCTCCCACCTGAGCTGTAATTTGCAGGGCTGATGAGGGTGAGGGCAGAGCAGATTTCTTCTCACTCTGACACCAGAGGCGGCTCACAGTTTACAGCTACAACTGAGAGGATCTCGTCCTCCCTCCGTGCGTGTGTGTGTGCTCTTTTTAACCTCTTCTTCCCCTCTTTTGTCACTCCCTCCCCACCTCCCTCCCCAGCTCCTCTCTCCGTGCTCCCTGTCGGTGTATCAGTGCGTGTGAAGTGTGGGGATAACAGACGCTCATGTGAGCAGCCTCRGCGGCAGCAGCTCTGACTGGTGAGGAAGAGGAGCGAGGACAGGAGAGGAGAGGCGGGGATAACGGAGCCACCACCACCATCATTCTGATCGGATTCACACCAGACATGTGAGAAGATGTCCGTGGGCGGCTGCGCGTGTCCCGGTGAGTAGCTGCTGCTGTGGTGATGGTTGCTGTTAACAACAACCAGTCACCCACTTTTTTCCTGTTGCTGTTGTTGTATTTCGGTGAGTGAGAGCAGCCGCTGCCGCTGCTGCTGTGGCGTGACTGGAGCAGTGAGCTGAAGGGGGGGAAACGGTGCCCCAGGGCCGTGGGGTTGTGTTTTGCAAAGGCTCATGGGAGGTTGACCTCTGTGATGTGCTGAGAGGATGAAGAGAAAACAAGAACAGGCGGATCAACATGTTGTCTGCGTTCAGCTGGACCAGCGTTTCCCAYGCCTGTTTCCTGGGGTTTTAGATGTTAGCCCGCTTTAACACACCTGGTTTACATCGACATGTCAGGCTGAGGTGAACCAGGTGCGTTGGAGCGTCTGAACCAGGACTGGGAAACACTGAGCTGCACAACAAAGGAGGCGTTTTCAATTGGAAACACATAAAAAAGATTTGTGTTGCTCAGAAACCTGAACATTGTGTTGTTGCTGCGGTGCGCTTTTACAACCTTTTCCTTTTTCTTCATCTGTGTTTTAAAGTAAAGATGCTGATTCAGCAGACTGTAGTTTTTTATCATACGTTTTTATTTTAATAATTCTGTGTAAATTGGACTATTTCAGCCGCTCATATTGAAACATTCAGTCTATTCAGGAAATGAAGCCTTTTGCTACTTGTAGCTTTTAGTTAACCTTTTATCACTTTAAATTTTGAGCTGTACTTCTGCTGCTTTTAGCTACATTTTTGCTATTTTAGCTATGCTTTTTCTGCTTTTAGATAGCCTTTGGATAATGTTCTCTTTTGAGCTAACTTTTTGCAACTTGTATCTTTTTTACTTTTAGCTTTTGGCTAGGCTGTGGTTACTTGTAATTTTTACTTAATTCTACTGTTTTGGTATTTTAACTAAAATTTTTCTGCCTTTAGCATTTGGATCATATTCTCATCTGAGCTGACATTTTGCTTTGACTGACCCTTGCTACTTTTACCTTTTTATTTAACCTTTTATCACTTTTAGCTTTGAGCTAATCTTCTGCTGCTTTTAGCTACATTTTAGCTACACTTTTTCTGCTTTTAGATAGCCTTTGGATAATGTTCTCTTTCAAACTAATTTTACTTTTAGCTTTTGGCTAACCTTTGATTACTTGCAGCTTTTACTTAACATTCTATTGTTTTGCTATTTTAGCTAACATTTTTCTGCCTTTTAGATTACATTTGGATCATATTCTCATTTGAGCTGACCTTTTTCTATTTTTAGCCTTAGCTAACATTTTGCTTTGACTTAGCCTTTTACTACTTTTAGCCTTAGCTAACATTTTGATGCCTTGACTTTTGCTACTTTTAGCTAAGATTTGCTACTTTTAGCTTCTTTTACCAATCAGTTTCTGCTTCTTTGACAGATCTCAGTATCCCACTGTTTTTTTCTTCTTTTTGTTCTTGTTTTTCCTTCGGCTTCTTTGTGAGTTTTGACTGACGGCTCAGTTTGTCAGCAAAGTCATCATAAATTTTCTATGCTCATTTATCAGGAGTAAATTCTGACCGCTCGCTTGTGTGGCGGTGTGGGAGGGAAGAGGATGAAAGTGTGACATTTACAGGGCAAAGCTCACTGATGTGGATCAAATGCTTGTATGATTGATTGAGCACCTTTACCCTAGTGCTGTGCCAAACGATTATTTTCTAATCGATTAATCTAGCTATTATTTTTTCGATTAATCGATTATTCTAACAACAGATCTATAAGTTATTCTGATGTGAGTGCACTGGAAATTTAAAATGTTTTCATCAAATTAACAAGAACAGTTCTTTAATATTGTAATATTTTCTGTAATTGTAATATTTTTCATGAAAAACTCACCACTCTTATGCCAATACGGTCGCAATGGTGCTTTTAGGTACCGAAATGGAATTGCATGAACATTCACCTGGTGGTTATGTAATACAGCGAATCGATAATAAAAAATCTGCATCGACAAATTTACATAATCGACGTCATCGATTATTTCAACTAATCGGTGCAGCCCTACTTGTGACRTCCACGGCCTRCCCCAGTTACCACTACTGTGCATGTGTGTCAATGACAGAAAGGCAGATGTGGCAGTGGAAGGTGTCAAAGCAGTTTGGAGATAAAAACAAAGTAAAGAACAAAAAAAAATTGATTATTAAATTAGTCATCGATTATTTTAATAATCGATTAGTTGTCGATTAATCGATTAATTGGTGCAGCCCTACTTTACCCACTGAAGAGATAATAATGAATSTTTGATGCTTCACACGGAAAACAGCTGAAGTTGAAGATGCACAAACCGAAGCATTTTACCTGCTGCACTGCAGGTCAAAGTTTAAAACACAGATCTTGCACATTTTATTGGTGCTTAAGGTGAATCTTGGAGAGGACTCTCAGCTACTACCAACCCAAGTTTTAACTCTGTATCTGTAAAACCGATCGAGTTAGAGTCATTTTTGTTTGACGAGGTTGATTAGCTGTGGCGGCCATCTTGAATCGAAATGTTTATCCACTGTTGATGTGCAACAGACACACTATTACAAAATATTTTATTTTAATGTTTTATTATTTGTATGGCAATTACTTTTAGCAAGTGTTACTTTAGGAGAATAAAATATCTACCATTTTTGGTTTTATTTTTACAAAACTGTAACATAACAACCCTGCATTGTGTTGCTGCCACAAGGTTTGGGGGCTAAAGCAAAAATASCAACCTGGACGGAGCAGTTTCTGTTAAACTGGGAAGACGTCTAAAAAACAATAATAATAGTTGTGTTTGGGTGTAGGATTCCTGACAGGAAACAAGAAAATCCCTGATATTTATTTGTCTTTAATCAGACTGAGGAGTAAAGGAAGAAGAGGAGGGAAGGTCTTGAAATAAACCCGTGTGCTGCTGAAGCCTTGAGGCAAGTCTATTATTAAGTGTTRCAGCCATTTATGTAGCACCCTTTATAGGAGGTGTAGGACATGAAATATAATCCTGAAGCTGAAAATGTATTCATAAGCATGATAAATGTACTCAGGAGCTGCAGCTGAGTAATATTTAGCAGCATGAAGGAGGAAGTAAGTAGTATAACGGTGTGTGTGTGTGTGTGAGATTTGCTGTGAGTTCAGGGTGCTGTTTGGCCTCCTTTCCATCCTTCAATCCTCCAGAGCCACAGTGACCACGGTGGTCAACCCGAGAACAGCCGGGATGTGGATAAAGAAATCCAGCTAACCGCTCGTCTGAGATCATGTTTCTCCTGCTGCAAGTCTAGACTTCAGCCATCAGAGAGATGCAGCTGGATTTGARGGTTTTTAGGGCTGACTGAATATTTATAAGTTGGAAAAAAAATGGAGAAAAAAAGTAAAAACAAATCTGAAAAAAGGCTGTGCTGTGTTGAACCAGTGTGTTTTCACTAAAGTTAAAATTTACTTTTGGAACAGGAGGAACTTGTTCCAAATTAACACTGCTTTCTGTTTGATCTGAGATCAAGGCTGTGGGAACAAGGGGTGCAAGGGTGCTGCAGCGCACCCCCTGGTGAATGACAGAAGACACATATAACCAAATAAAGGATAAAAAGTGATCTGTGCAATGTTATTAAAAATTAAGAAATAAACAAAATCCCTGCAACATTTTTCTTTTATCAATTATCCATCCATCCATCCATCCATCTGTCCACCCATCCATCTGATTCTGTAATATTTGTTTATCTGCACAGACTATGGCCAGCCTAATGAAGGTCAGTCACGTGACTACGCTTTTACAGTCTTTTTGACAGGATCAGTCGAGTGTTTTGTTTACATTGAGTGCGTACCCACCTTTCAGAATTGCGTATCTGAAAAAATACTGGGGTAAACTCTTCCTTAAAGGTACTTATTGCAAACTATGAAATCAAACTTCCATTTTTATCCAGTTTTCCTTTCTGGTCRTGAAAAGGAAAACTGTATCAAATGGTGCAGTTTGCAGGAGCAAACTAAGAATCGGGGCTCTCCATTTTTTGTYGGTACTGTGATCAAACCAAACCAAAACACATTCTCCAGACAACAGAAAACGGTTTGTCTGAAACACAAAATGGCACGGGGACACGTCGCGCATCGGTGACGCTGCAGTGGTTTTCGTGTGTCTCTGTGTGTTTTTGATTTCTGTGCAGTGCCCCGTGCTACGAAGGCAAATGCTGCCACCTCAGCCGTTAAACAAGCCTGCACAACACAGGCGGGAGCATTTGTTTAGAACGGGGCCTGAGCTATCCTGCGGTCAGATTGCATACTTAATCAACGTGGTCATGGAAATTTCCGAAAAAAGAAGTATGACTGCACTGTTGTGAGCTCCACTTTTTGCTCTCTTTGCTTCTCTTCTGTTTTCCTCCAGAGTTGTTTTCAGTTTGGGTGGGGGTGGGGG